AGTTACTACAAGTGATGTCCAGTGACCCAGAGAGTAATGAAACAGGCAGTTGTATCTCAGTTTTATCAATTTACTCTTTTAGATGCTGAGTATCAAGAAATCCACTCCATATACTCACATACTCATGATTTAAAGAGATCACATAAGTGCAAATAAAATGTCCAAATAAGGAGCATAGGCCTACACAAATAATAACTGAAAACAAATAGTTACAACAGATTTAGACCTCAAGGATACACAATCTTGCAATTATGCAGGGAGAAACAATGAGTACAACAGTCCTGGTTGATTTTCAGTCGCTGGAAATATTCAGATGTATGGTTAACTGTGAACTTTGGGCGTTGAGCTGTAGTCTCGGGTCCACTGATGCACAATATCCGATGAGAATAAATGCAAAGGTCCACAAAATGTCTATGAATGTTTGTTACTGCAAACGGATCTTGTTCGTGTGGTGTGTATAATTCTTGAGTGTGGTTCTACAATACACAAATGAAACTAATTAGTAACAGAAAGTACAAAATGTCCAATTAATGCTAACAGCTCAAAGGAAAATTGCTGCGTCACAGACAGCTCCGTAATGGCGATCGTACTTGTCACAATTAGCACAATATTTCACATAATAAACAATCATACTTTAGTATAAACTGAAAATATAACTTAACAGCAGTATATCAATGAAAACCATATGAACAGTTAAAATAACACTCACGGTCTTCAATGACGCACATTCAAAATCCTCGCGAGGCAAACTTCGGCGAGAGATTATTAACGGGAACGCACCATCAGCCGTCGATCAAGATCACAAATATTCTCCCTACAGTTCACAACGTGAAATCGCTGCAGGTTGACATCTTATTTCGGATTAATTCACGACTTTCATATGCGGCAGCGGGACCTCCTGATTCTCTCCGTCACGACCGAACTTCAGCCATCTCACTTCCGATACTCTCGCGCAATCTCTGAATAAACCACGCCTACTCAATGAAAATAAATGACCAATCTGACTGCTGTACAGCCCTTTTAATATACAGAACATGAACTGAACATGGGCTTTTTTACAGTGATGTTATTTTTGTGTTTTCCACTTCCACAGTGTCACAAATGCACACATGCAGTTCCCATCAAGGACTCAAATTGTCAGCTTTAAACATTCAGCTCAAGGGTTTATTACTCGTGCTGCTCATTTGCAGTTTAAGATCTGCAACCCATAAACCCCATAAAACTCTCCAAACTGCTCCAACGTCACATAGAGGCAAAGAAAGGACACGAGACGGAGAGGTGTGGGACGTTATGATGCACAAGCGCATGCAGCATAACTCAACACTCCCACATAGTTTTTTTTACAGTAGTGCCGGGACACATTTCAACATAAATACACAATTGTGAAATCTGGAAGCGATTTCCTGACAAGTTCACTCCTTTCAGTCAGACTAAAATTAATGTCAGATGCTCTGATTGGTCAGTGTGTTGCATGACTCCTCTGTGACATCACATTTTGGATAAATCTGGCCCTATTTAATGTTTGTCCTGTTTACTGCCAAACTCACAGCCTCGCACGCGTGTGCTGATGTAGCCATATGACGGACCTAAAAATAGCAGCACTAAGTGTGGAATGTTTTCCACCCGCACTCCACTAATCCGCTTCTACTCGCCCACTGAATTCCCCAAAATGTGCAACATCTCATAACATATTCATGCACATTAGCACCCTAACAGGAATTCTAACTTCCCCAATTGTTTTTTTCATTTTGCTAAAGTTTACATTTATCAGCAATTATCACAATAATATCTCTGATGTCATTTACAATGCAATTGCAATGCAAGAGGAAAAGAGGAACAAAAGCTCATGTTTGAAGTCCGGACTGCTTTGTAGTCTGTTTTTGTGAAACAGTAACTTCCCCATTCTGAGACGAAGCCCTGCGAAATCCCTAAACACGCATGACGTAAGTGCTCGGCAGCAGTGTGTGTGACCTTTAGGAGAAACTCAGACTTCCCCAGACTGACCGTCAGCGTATGTACTGGCTAAATCATACCCAGAGAGATTCATACCTGGAATACGGTATAATCTGATCTCATTTATATTAGCATGACTTTGGTGGAAGCATTCCGGGAATGTAAATGATGAGCAACTCAAGATGTTTTATACAACAATTGTAGCCTGATACTTGAAAATACCTTGCCCCTCGATCATCCCCAGGATACTTAATTTTTGTGATAGTGTTGTGATTAATTACATATAAAAATGACCAGAAATATAGTGCGGTTGTATTTTTCTTGAGGTGCCCGTCCCTTCAGCTCCCCCTCACACTGACAGAATATCACGTGATGTTCACGCGATTTTACCGTAATTTTAGATTCCGACGTGTAAAAAAACATTCACTTTCTCGTCCTTTTTATGAGCCGGTTATGAGTCTCAAACGCCACTGTAGCCTAAAGTAATCTATTAACGACGCACATCATAACGTTTCAGGCAAGTACCATGTTATGTCATAAAAGAGTGTAAAATATACTGAATTTGTATTTAATCTGATCACATGTTTAATAAAAAGACATTTTAAGTTTAATTATAACGCCGCATGTTCACAATTATTCAAACGTACAAATTGTACAGCGAGCAAAGTAGATTTACATTATCAAAGAACATTAGGCTATCAATAAATTCAGCCTAGCGCGAGTGTAAGCGCTCAAAAAACAGCTCCAGTTATAATAAGTGAAGCTGTCTGCAGTGTACGATGAATGAATCTCTTATTTACATCGCATGTACATCTGCACTTTTGCATGTACACACTGCAGAAACTGTTGTTTCTGATTAGAGAATTCGCCAAAGTGCAGAGTGCGCGCACTGACCACAAATTCGGCCAATCAGCGATGTTAATATTTAGTAAAATCCCCCTAAATAATAGAAATATTAAAGAAAAAAAATTCTAGAACTAAAATCACAAAAGCACAAATATAAATTGGTTCTCATATAACTCTGTCTTCATTCATTTGTATGTTCCTCTACAGTATATAAGTGTTTGGGCTGTTTAATATTAGGATTTTGTCTAAAATCCCTCACCGTGGCCCCGCCCTGCAACATCAAGCCCCGCCCCCCAGATCAAATATGTTCCCACGGCTACGACCTCAGCCATTATTTGGAAAACTTTTCTTTGTGTAGGGTTGCCTACTTCGGTGTGGGAAAATAAGAGACAATGGAGATCAAATGCATGGATGGTTGTCATTTAAGCCAAAGTAACCTACAAAACAGATAAGGCTAAGATGAACTGACTGAGCTTCGAAAATCCTGATAAATGTGAAACAAATGAACTACTAACTCATAGTTTCTGATGGATGGGCGGATGGATGTCTGTTTTTAATTTTAGAAAAGCTGGGTTTTCCAGAATGTGTCTTGTTTACTTTCCCCCAAAGTACAGTCTGATCACGGGTCTGGAAAATAAAGCGAAAAGACCCGTCCACATTCAGGAAGCACTGCAGAGGCACTTTCAAAAGGGAAGCTGACAGAAATCAAGGAGATTAAAGCCCTCATGTGATGAATGTATTACAGAAACAGATTCAATAACTCACTAGAGCACACAAGAGAGAGCACTGCAATAGTTGTCCTGTCTACAAACACCCACACTCAGAGCTATGAAGATAAGAAAACGGGTATTGTCGAACAGGACAGTGATGCCATACAGGAAGTGACAGGAGTAAACAGGGATCTGAGAAAGTGACTCTCACTGTAGGCGTAGAGCTGCGGCTACACCTGTGCGGATGACATCACTTCCTGTAGACACTCAGGCTCGGGTGCACAGGTTTTCACATGCAGGTGACATAATCACACCGTTCCTCTTCCAGACACAGGGATCTATTTTTAGAACAGTATACAAAGCAAAATCATGATGCATCAACTTTTATATGCAAAAAAAATTCCATTGGCCTATGCAGAAAATACTTTGAAATCACACACAAATGGACATCAGGAAATGATAAAAAATGAAATACGTGCATGCCTTTAAAACACTGTTTAAGGAGGAACATGTGCTTTTACTTAAACATCTGTTAAAAATGCACCCATTATTTCCTTAAAGAAATTCAAGGTCGTCAATTATTCATGAACCCATTTGATTAAAAGTCCAATCTCTTGACTAACACTGAAATGCTTTGGACAGTGCATAACAGAAGTTATTTTAACCTAAAATATGTTAAATGTAAGACTGGAAGGCCGAAGTTCTTTTGATTACATAAATCTTACATTTCTGTGTCCGGTTATTTAGTATAGTTTTTCTTGAATACTGAAAACGGTTCGAATCTAGATTTGGCATCAAGCAACACAAAATCCAGAAGCCGATCTGAAACAAAAGAGATTTGCTCAAAGGCCGTGAGAGAAACCATGGATTGCGAGAAAACACCGGCCCCAACGTTCACAAATAACTCACTTTCACTTAACTCACATGCTTGTGCTGTCCGACTTTTCTTGGAATCAGCTCCAAAACGAATACTTAAACGTCAAAACGTTTCCTTAGAAATGAATTACAATATTCAGCATATTTCAGTGTTTTGTTCGTGTGAATGAGTTTAGCATCTCCTGTATATAGGCCCTTGGCAGCTTCAGTCTGAGCCATGTTTTGTGAACAAAATCCGAATCGAGCACTTTATTTGGCGGTGTAAGTGTGCACACAAATATACCACGTATATACAAATGTCTTACTTTTACACAAAGTATGCAACAAACTGTGTGAAGGAGGCATTATGGTATGCAGTATTAAAGTGAGGGGATAAATGTAGCTCGATATTCCATGAAATAACGAGCGGAATACGGAGCCAGTCACAGAAATTCACACTTTACTCTCCTCCCGCTTTCCACCTCCGTTTGCGCAAGAAGCGGAAAGTTAGTCGGTTTTTCTCTAAACCTCCCTCTTCGCGTCTGGGTCTCTCTTTCTCTCTGCTGTGGGCGGAGGAGGAGGTGACAAGGGAAACCCGCTTGTTCCTCCTCCTGCGCCTCTATATAACGCTCATGATGTCTCCCCTCGAGCAGAGCAGCACCTGCCGTGGATGTACAGCGATTTATTTACACGCCGTTTCTCGAGATGTCCGCAGATGTTGAGAGCCAGTCGCCCGCCGTGCGCTCGCGCAGCCGGTGTCTGGACACCTTCCTCACCGTGTCCGTGATCGCACTCTTCCTCATGTTTATTGCCGCGCTCGCAGGAGCGCTGTACTTCGCCAAACACATCGAGGACGAGATAAACGCACGGACGACGCGACATATAGACGGAGTTAAGGACTCGCAGGTTGCGCCGATCCGCGAGACCGGAGACGCGTATAAGGTGAGTTTGTAGATGTCTATGTATTTATACCATAGCATTTCAATGTTTGTACGTGTACCATGGCTTTACTATGATTGGACCGTTGTGTTATTCAAAATACGTTTAAATAATTTGCACATACCATGAAATATGATTATGATAATCATTCAGTACTTACTTTTTATGAGTTGACAATAAGAGCTTTGATTTCAGAGATAAAGGTTCCAAATAGAGCGTTTCGAATTCTAGAATAATAACAAACCCTAAATTGTTTCAACCCAACTTTGGGTTAAGTATTGACTAACCCAACTTTTGGGTTAACAATTTAATGTAAAAATTTAACATAACAGCTGGGTTTGTCCATATTTGACCCAAAGTTGGATTGAACAACCCAGCATTTTTTAGAGAGTAACAACAGTACACTTTTTAAAAAATAAATACTAAATTACATAAAGGAAACCGCTTGATGCCATAGGAGTTCAACAAAGTGCATTTTATTCATTGGTTTTTAGAAGAAGAAGAAAAAAAAACGCATCTGTGTTGTGGTGTTTAAATAAACCAAAACGCCAAAAGAACCTACAATGAAACAAATAATATTTTAAAACTGGATCGAACCATGTAGCATCCCAATAGCTCTGCAGAGCCAAAACGCATTTCTGAGAAATGAATCAGACCAGGGCTCTTGTTTTACACGAGTCGTCAAATCTGTATCTGATGTTTTGTTTCCCATGTCTTCCTTTTTCTAGACGCAGAATTTTGTTTACCTGAGGGCCACTGAAAGTAAGTTATATTTCACATTTTGGAACTTTAAGAATGCAAAAAAATTCTAAAACGTAATGAACTTGTATTGAACCTGGAAAAAACACAATTCCTTTGCACATTGACTTCCTCTGTTAAAGTCTTGGGACTGAGCGTGTCTCTTTGTCTCCGCCCTGCAGGTGAACTCAAAACAGGTGTGATGGCGTGGGAACCTTTCGCGTATGGAAAGGGTCAAACCATTGGCTCTCTCTACAGCTATGAGAAAAACCAGAATGTGCTGAACATCAACGAAAGCGGAAGCTACTTCCTGTACGTCCAGCTCAATTTTTCCTGCACTGGACGGTGTCCATCTGGCCAATTCACTGTCAGCTTTTACAATAAACACAATAGCGAGGAGCTCCCCTGCACCGTCTCGCTGCCTGAGCGGAGCAAAGAAACGCCTCACAGTCAGACGTGTTGGCGCGTCGTGACCTTTCCGGAAAATGGAAACCGCCTCATGGTCAAATCACAGGTTGAAGGCACGCTAGACAACTGGAAACTGGAGATGAATGACTCTGGCTTTGGGATGTTTCTGGTGGACGGATTAGGAGCGCTGCGTCACACGTGATCAGCAGAAGCCCGACCAAACTGATTTGGGGCTGCTTGTTTGAGTCGCGTCACTTTGATCCACTCAGGACTTGCTTTTAATGCTCTGATGAGCAGGACTCCACTAATGTCCACAGACTTTCTTGGCTAATTTGGCAATGCCTTCAGCTACCAAAAAGAGTGGCTCTTTCACGTTTTAGCCACAATATTCAAATGCATTCTGCCAAATTTTGCAGATTTTCCTCTACAACAAAAGCTCAGAAAATGCAACGACATCTAGAGACTTTGTCTGGGCCTGAACCGATAAGCCATGCTTCTTAAGCACTATTTATAATTTAAATGTATTTATATGTGTAACATGTTAAATATTTGCAATATTTATATTCATATTTTTTGTGTATACTGTACATAGTGTGTTTAAACATTTGTAGACATCACTACGTGTGCGAGGTGTCAGACCGAACCCTTTTGTTCACTGATTGCATGTACTGTATTATTCTACTGATGTTTAGGTACATCACAGAAATACCGAGTGAACTTTGACCAGCACATCAACACTAGTGCCTCGGCTGGGTCTGTACGTTTCGCTCTACGTTCAAGAACTCAAAAAGCTGCATGTGTGAATGTACGTGAACATCTCTTCACGAGCACGCGCTTGTGTTGTGAGGAAAGCACCGTATGAATGCGATCAAACTCAGGAACTCTATGGATGAATGTAACGACGATGACTGTGTGAAATGCATTATTATGTAAACAGAGTATTTAATAAAAATGCAAAATGTTCAATTTGCATAACTGTGGGCTGTTTGTTGAGGTGAGATGATGCTAACGCTCTTCGGTGTTACTTTGTGCTTATGTTGCAGCTCAGATGTTGCTCTTTTAGAGTTATAATGGAGTTTTATTTACGCTTCAGCTGAATCTCAGATGTTTCTCCTAAAATAAAACATTAGAACAGACACAAATGAGTCGGAAGCTGGCATCCGGTAATGGTTACTAAATTAAATTAAATATATGTGACCCTGGAGCACAAAAGCAGTCATAATCAGTGTTGGGGGTCCAATTTATTGATTGACAGCTCTGGTGTTGCCATGGTGACAGAAATCAGAAGATGTTCCTGTAGTTCTAAAATAAATATGAATATACATTAATTCATCTCACTCACTCACAAAAAAAAAACACAGATTCAGTATTCCTCAAAATGAATAAAAATAATGCAACTCAGAATATGACGCAAACCTGCAATAATTAAATGTTAAACAACACAAATATCCTTTATGTATTTAATCCCATTCTATTAATAATCACAAATTACTCTAGACAAACATTCGTGTGTCTTTTTTTATTGCTGAAGTGTGTTGAAATTTCTTCTGCATTCTACTGTACGGACGTAAATTGACTTTCCCTTCAGCCTGAGGCTTATTCATTTGACTTTTGGTGTGAAAAGGCTTTTATATTTGCCAAAAATAGAGCTTTTTTTATTTTAAAAACAAACAAACAAGTCCTGTCCAGATTTAAAAAGTAACGCAAAAGTAACGTAACTCATTACTTTCCATAAAAAGTAACTAAGTAACATAATTAGTTACTTTTTTATGGAGTAACGCAATATTGTAATGCATTACTTTTAAAAGTAACTTTCCCCATCGCTGGTCATAAGCAGCACGGATATATTTGTAGCAATAGCCAACAATACATTGTATGGGTCAAAATGATCCATTTTTCTTTTATGCCAAAAATCATTAGAATATTAAGTAAAGATCATGTTTCATGAAGATATTTAGTAAATTTCGTACTGTAAATATATCAAAACCTAATTTTTGATTAGTAATATGCATTGCTAAGAACTTCATTTGAACAACTTTAAAGACGATTTTCTCAATATTTAGATTTTTTTGAACCCCCAGATTCCAGATTTTCAAAGTTTTTTTATTTTTTAATATTTTATTAGTAGCTTATTTATTCAGCTTAGAGATGATGTATAAATCTAAATTTCAAAAAATTGGTTTCAAATGACTGGTTTTGTGCTCCAGTGTCACATATAGAGCTATGAAAAAGAATGTGGAGAGCCATTCAGGTCATTTGATGAGAAACGTTTAAGTTCATATCAAGAATTTTTGGGATTTCAGCTAATTTCACTTGAACAGACATGGGAGGACAAAAATCTCCATTTGACTGCGTTGATGTCTGGGAGAAGCAGCTGAGATGGTAATGAGATCTCATGTGTGACTTTCCTTTGGCAAGGTCTGATCAGAGCTTGTGGGAGGAAAGTTCTGCTCTACATCCAGGCCACCTCGCTCACGTCACTTTCTGTCAGAGGCCCGAGAGCAGGTTTCAGTCCTCACCACATCTGCACAAACTCGACAAACAAACAAACAAACAGCCCGAGTTTGCTCGAGACGATACAATGCATGCGTGTTGAGTTCTTCCAAATAAAGCTTGCAGACGCTCCACTAACATCTCACCCACTTCACGCCACGAAATCATTGCTTTGTACCTCTCTACCAGATGTACAAAATTTGGGCATGCTGTGCAGAGCACCCGGAAACGACATGAGTCAGTGTGAGATTCACCTTAATACATCTGACTGGAAGCGAGCGGGTGCGAGACTTCATGACACTGAATGTGCAGGAGAGACTCTACCAAAGACATTTAAACTCCACTTGAGTCAAAACTGACTTTCCCAATACACACTCTTGGTCTTGCTGTCAGTGATTCATCAGTGCACATTATTCCAACGTGCAAAACAGTCTCACTCTCTGCCTCACACCTTTGATTTCTGTCTGACGCCACTGATCGTGAGTTTTTCCTGTTTCCCCTGAAAAATGAGTTGTGAATGTAGAATGAGCTGTAAATGCCATTTCACGTCAGTTTTATCTGCGAGTTTAAAGGGAGTGAGTGGAAATCAATGCAGCGCTACTAGAAGTGAGATGAAATGAACTAAGTTTTCATCATGTGATTCTTCGTATGCTGGCTGTTTGTAGTTAGTTTTTCTTTTCTTTTCTAGTTAGTCAAGGTTGTGTTGTGATTGGTTGATAAATGTTTGCATCCCTTTCAAGAAAAGTCTTTTTACTTGGCGGCCTTCTTTTCAACGCCTCCAGGCAGCTGTTTCTGGAAACCGAATTTGCCAAACAAGAACAAAATCGGACATGGACCATCTCCTAAATGCTGTTTCATGGTGTTAAAATGCTTATATTTCAGACTGGACCAGCCATGTGCAGTCTTTCTCCCATTATGCTAATATAATTGAACCGTATTGGTACTATACGTACCAATACCTCTTTGCTCGAAGTTCACTCAGCAGTCATCTTAATACACTCTTAAAAATAAAGGTGCTTCACGATGCCATAGAAGAACCTTTTTGTCTAAATGGTTCCATTAAGAACCTTTAACATCTGAAGGACCTTTCTGTTTGACCAAAGGTTCTTTGTGGAGAAAGAAGGTTCTTCAGATTACAAAAAGGTAAGAAAGAGATGGTTCTTTAAAGAACCTTTGACTGAATGCTAAAAAATGGTGCATCCAAAAATGGTTCTATGGCATTGCTTGAAGAACCTTTTGAAGCACCTTTATTTTTAAGAGTGTAACACATCCAGACAGCTGTGTTTCAGTCAGATACTACAACAGACGCCATTATCTGAGCTTGTGTTTCAATAACACATGTATCAAATGAGCCATATTAAATCTGCCAGCTATCCGACCTGGCCCATCTCCAGCTCCTTTGAGTTTCTCTGGAAATTGTTACAAGGCAGGAGAAGGTCTGCATGACTAAAGGCGTTGAGAAAGAGCCCGACCGCATATCTACTGTAACCATGTCCAGCAGTCTTCCTGTTCTTCTCAGCAGGCGCACACTTTAAGGAGGATTTCACGCTTTTTAGGCACAATTACCGTGACTCAGCGGACGCACTTACATGCACACTAAACATGATCATTGAAGAGATGTCTCACTGGACGTGTAGGTGGAGCCAGTGGCTGTTTGATGCACATCGCAGAGACCAAGAGAAGAGGAGCAAGCTGCAAACGTGACGGGTTTTGAAACGCCAGAGATTGTGCTTCCAAACAAATCTGCTCCAGTAGACGTCCCAGTCCTGCTAAGATCTGCTTCAGAAATTAAAAACAGCTGAAAAATGTTCATGCTCATCCGAGCAGATCTGCAGCGGAGTCTCTGCTGAAGGCAGCTCTGCGGATCTCTTCTGCCACCTGTTGATGGACGTGGAGAAGTGAAACACTGGCTCATGCAGCTCAGGAAAACACTGTTGCATCTCAACAGGACCGGGACCTGCACTCTTAAATATAAAGGTTCCTAAAGAGGGTTTTCACAGCGATGCCATAGAAGAACCAGTTTTAGTGAACAGTTCTTAACATAACTTTTTCCACTGTGAAGAAGCTTTTGTGGAATGAAAAGGTTCCATGGATGGTAAAGGTTCTTTGTGGAACCATTGATGCCAATAAAGAACCTTTATTGTTAAGAGTGTCACTGCTAGACCATCACTGTGTTTGTCTGTCGCTCAGTTTGGTCTCTCTGATCATGGTCTTTAGAGGAACAAAGGCTGATGCTTGGAAAGAAACGAGCCGCTCGTTTTTCTTTCTTTCTCATGCCACACGTTGCTCTCTCTCTTTCACTCTTTCTCTCTGAGTAACAGAAAGAAATAAGAAAAGAGAACAGTTGGTTGCGTATAAAGACAGAAAGTTTCTGGAAACTTCCACCAAGATGCTAGAAAAGTGCTGAATCAGAAGCGCAGGCTCTGCCGCCCCCGTCTCTCGCTCTCACCGCTTCCCACAGCACAGCAGCAAACACTCTACAACACCATCAGCCATAACACACAGATCCAAGAGCTGTCTATCAGACTATCTATCTATCTCTCTGAATATCTATCTATCTATCTCTCTCTCTATCTATCACAAGATGCTAGAAAAGTGCTGAATCAGAAGCGCAGGCTCTGCCGCCCCCGTCTCTCGCTCTCGCTCTCACCGCTTCCCACAGCACAGCAGCAAACACTCTACAACACCATCAGCCATAACACACAGATCCAAGAGCTGTCTATCAGACTATCTATCTATCTCTCTGAATATCTATCTATCTATCTCTCTCTCTATCTATCCGTCAGTCTATCCATATATTTATCTATCTATCTATCATTAAATGAAGTGCACGGCTGTTGGAGGAAGTGACATCAGACTCAGAGTTCTTCTTCCTGTCGTGTTCAGGTGCAGTGTGAGCGGCTGTGGAAGGAAACCACCAGGTGTGTCAAAGTATGATAATGAGTGTACGAGAGCGTTTAGTGTGTAGGCGTCTAGACCTTACACTCATTCTAAAGCACATTCAATTCACAAGCCCTCGTACAGTTAGCTCCTGTTCTCAAGGGGGTTTCTATTGGCAGTTATGTTTGAGATTTCTGCACATGATAAAACGCAGGAAGAAAGAACAATAATCACCATGTAGATCAGTGGCTTCCAACCGCTTGAGTGATCTGAAGCCCTGGGATCTGCATGATCTATCTGAAGAAAATCCTGAGAGATCAAGTAATGCTCACACATATTAAGACGTGTCATGTTGTAATCGTTTTAATTTGAGGTTGGTATTGATATGTTTGTGAACCTGAGGTGGAAATCCCTACGGTAGTGAAACACTGCTCATGTTAGTCCAGCCATTGCACCATCACGCTGATGTGTGCACTTTATACACACTGAAACACTTTTCTTACTTCTCTTTTTGCTACATTCTTGTGACTGAGCGGTGACGCCAAAAGCAGCACACAAGGAGAAACTCATATTTCATTGTTTCTTTTAAAGGGGTCATATGATGCGATTTAAATTTTTCCTTTCTCTTTGGAGTGTTACAAGCTCTTGGTGCATAAAGAAAAATCTGTAAAGTTGCAAAGACTAAAGTCTCAAATCCAAAGAGATATTCTTTATAAAAGTTAAGAGTCAGCCACGCCTACCTAAAACGGCTCGTTCTAACACGCCCCCACATACCTACATCACGATAGATTTAGGTTAAATAAAGATGTCAGTCTTTATTTTTCTTCTTTTTAGGAAACAAATCCAAAAAAAAAAAAAAAATTCTACTGTTAAAACATCTGCTATAATGAAGTAAGTTTTACAGGACATCACAAATGGCATATGCACTGGGAAAAAAAAAAAATTTAAGTTGTAAATAAAAATTTAATAGAGATCATGATCTCCTTTATATATTCCATTTTATTTTATTTATTTCACTATCATTATTATCTGTATTGCTTGCAACTAGTGTGTGTCTTCAGTATTGTCTTGAAGCACTTTTGTCAACTTCAGTTTTTTTGTGTGCTATATAAATAAAAATGGATTGATTGAGTACACTGTACAAGAGGATACTATTTGAGTCTTTCGACTTCAAAATGTTGTTTAATTCAATGTGTTACCATGTCTTTGTAAATATTTGTGAAACGTACAAGCCATTTCTAAGTGCAAATTGCTTCAAAGGCATTTTTCTGTGAAAAAATTTGAACAAAAAAATTGTTACATGTGAAAATGTAACAACTCACCCAGAATACATGTGTTTCTGACAGATTTTGATAATTGAATGATCATTTTGCGTGTGATGGCTCACATGATGAAAGAAGGTTTAGAAGTTTCAATGCGAATCAACTCGTCAGTTTTGAGCCATGTGCATGTAGTTTTTTTGTGCAAATTGTAGACAGGCGGACTTACTCTTTTGCATGGGTGCCAAAACACGAGCGGTTTGCTTAAAGGGATGGTTCACCCAAAAATGAAAATGTGATGTTTATCTGCTTACCCCCAGGGCATCCAAAATGTAGGTGACTTTGTTTCTTCAGTAGAACACAAACGGAGATTTTTAACTCAAACCGTTGCAGTCTGTCAGTCTTATAATGGAAGTGAATGTAAATCACGGCTTTGAGAGTAAAAAAAAACATACACAAA